TTGAAAGCTCGCGAGATCAGGATGGTCTCACGAGGCTAATAATGTGCAGGTTTTTAAGGTATTTTTTCCTACTTCGTGCAGTCAGACAGGTTCTGTTTACAGGATTTCTTGATTCTTTCAATCTGACAGCAGTCAGCTCTGGATGGGGAGAGGAAAATTAACCTGGATTTGGTTAATTCCATTAATCCCGCTATAGCGGCCTTTTATTTTGACAGCCTGTAGACAGGAAGTAGTTGTGAAGGAAAGGAGGAGAAGACGACCTTCAGCAATGGGTCTGAACTCTGGGCTCTAGGCGCTCCACCAGGCACTGCTCCGGTAGATTCCTGTTTATTGGGTTGATTACTGGTTTAAACTGGTCTCTCCTGGTTTTGAGCTTTTTTTTCTTATTATTTAAAAACTCTTCTTTATTTTATATTTAGCAAATGTTTAGATTAGTTTGATGATCAGAAATGCTGCAGACACTGACGCCTGGTTTCTTCTACAGCTCCCGTCCACGGTCTTCTCCATCTGTAAGGTCCAACAGAAGAAGGTAGGAAGCTCCGGTTCTGCTGCTCTGTGTTTGTAACGAACGAGGCGATTAACTGCCGATCTTCTTCAGGTCCTGATTCTCCACACCAACGACCTGAAGCACCTGCTGCCCAAAGGATGCGACATAATCTCCCTGTCTACCTTAAAGGTACGATCCTTTGATCAAAGTGCTTCAAAACTGAGAGGTGAAGCTCTGGGTTGCTGGGATCATCAATCAGACTGATGGTCAGAAGATATGGATCAGAACCAGAAGCTGAGATAAAATTCCTCAGCTTCCTGGGAGAGCTGTAAGGGTGGAGCTGCTGCTCTTCCACATTCAAAGGAGGGAGCTGAGGTTCTTCATCTGACCCTGAAGCCTCCTGGACCTCCTATTATGACGATAAAGCTTATTGAGTGGCTCAGGTTATCCTGAGCTATCTCTGTAGTTAGGGGTGTGGCCTAATGACATTGACACCCTATATAAGATGTGCTTAATTATTAGGCAACGTCCTTTCCTTTGGCAGAATGGGTCAGAAAAGAGTTTTGGCAGACTCTGAAAAGTCAAAAATTGTCTTTCAGAGGGGTGCAGCAGTTTGGAAATTGCCAAGACTTCGAAGCGGGATCATCGCACAATCAAGCGGTTCATGGCAAATAGCCAACAGGGGCGCAAGAAGCGTTTTGAAAAAAGAAGATGCAAAATAACTCCCATGAATTGAGAAGGATCAAGCTGCCAGGAAGCCATTGGCCACCAGTTGGGCCATATTTCAGAGCTGCAACATGTCTGGAGCGCCGAGAAGCACAAGGTGCTCAATACTCAGGGACCTGGCCAAGGTAAGGAAAGATGAAAAAAGGCCACCTTTGAACAAGACACACAAGACAAAACGTCAAGATTGGGCCAAGAAATATCTGAAGACTGATTCCTCCAAGGTGTTTGGGTCTGATGAAAGGAGAGTGAGTCTTGATGGGCCAGATGGATGGATGGGCACCAGGCTGGATCAGTAAAGGCCAGCAAGGTCCTTATCGACTCAAGGTGGAGGTAGGGTAATGCTATGGGCAGCTATCATCAAAGATGAGCTTGTGGGACCTTTTCGGGTTGATGATGGAGTCAAGACCAACTCCCAGACCTACTGCCAGTTTCTGGAAGACACCTTCTTCAAACAGTGGAACAAGAAGAAGTCGCAGTCATTCAAGAAAAACTGATATTCATGCAGGACGATGCTCCGTCACACGCATCAGAATACACCACAGCGTGGCGGCCAGAAAAAGCCTTAAAGGAGAAAAATAATGACATGGCCCCCTTGTTCACCTGATCTGAACCCCATGGAGAACCTGTGGTCCTTCATGAAATTTGAGATCTACAAGGAGGGAAAACGGTGTCTGGGAGGCTGTGGTGGCTGCTGCACGTAATGTGGATCGCAAACAGATCAAGACACTGACAGAATCTATGGATGGAAGGCTTTAGGGCGCAATGGTGAAGAAAGGTGGCTATATTGTTCTCTGATTTGTTTTTGTTTTTGAATGTCGTAAATGTTTATTTCTGAATTTTGAGTTGTTATATTGGTTTACCTGGTGAGAATAAACAAGTGAGATGGGTATATATTTGTTTTTTATTACGTTGCCTAATAATTCTTCATTGTAATATTTACCTGGGCACACAGACATCCTCATAAAATGGCCAAATCTACAAAAAAAAAAAAACACTTCCAAAAACATGAAACTTTGATATTAAGGAGTCTTTTGGGTTGATTGAGAACATGATTGTTGCCAAATAATAAAAATAATCCTCAAAAATGCATAATTCTGCACCCAATGTAGGCTTAAACTGCTGGAGGACATAGGGACCCCTTTTTCATCATTCTTC